TGAATAACTTGCGCGCGAGATTTGTGGCCGCGCGTGGCGCAAGGGCGCCAACCGCAGGGCCGCTTTCCTACGATGGCTGGGCGCGCTCTCGCCTGCAGCGCGGAGCGCTGCATGCGGCGTGCGCCAGTATGCTCAGGATCAACTGCGGAGCTGGATCGCCAATCCGAATCGGGCAGGACCAGCGCCACCCACAGTGAAGCCTCGGCGCCCACGCTGGCAGCCGCGCCCGCGTTGCTACTCGGGGGCGACGGCATCTACAGCATATGCGGCCGCCGGTATCGCAGCCCGTGGCCTGGGAAGTGCATTCCCCGGGGCGGCGGGGGCCCTCGCATCTCGCGGATGCGAGGCGCCGACGCACTGCGCCGCCCTGAAGGGGGGGCAAGATCGAGAACGACCAACAGCAGGTCCAGATGGCGTCGGAGGCGGTGGCCACTGCTGGCGAGATGGCCCCCTAATGCGCCCGTGCCAAGCGGGGCGCTGCTTCGTGGTGGAGTGCCGGGGCAGCGTGAAGGGGGGCAAGGTTCGCTGGATCGGAGCGACTGACCGTCACCGCGTGCTGATCGCATCCATCCCACAACCCTGTGGGGCGTTGAAGTGGCTGGAGCTCGCGGGACTTAAATCGACAACGACCACGCTCCTCGCACCATGCTGTGAGGTCACGGAAGTGAAGTAGTACACTGGGATGTTGGGTTTACTTCAGGTGAGTCCACCACGTTGCATGCGCCAGCGTTCGCTTCTTCAGTAAAGCCTGCTGCAGGCGCCTGGTTTAGTTTTGTGTGTTTCCAGTGCTTGTGCCTCTTCGTCCGCCCCCCTTCTCGGCCCGGTTCGTTGGTGACTTTGAGTTTGGCTCGGCTTGCAGCCCTGCCCTTGTATTGCCTGGAGCGTTGCCGACTTCGCGTTGCTGGTAAGGGCGGCTCCCGCCATTCTGCGCTATGCTTATCCTGCACGTGATGTTTTGCGCCGCTTGAAAATCGCTGCTCGCCGCCAGCCCGAGACCAGAGGATCGCGTGCTGATGTGCGGGCTTCCCACCAGCGGGTGGTAAGCTTCGTATGTTGCGTCCTTGGGCGCGCGCGCGCGCGGGCCGACCTTTCGGTTGCCTCTGTGAATGCTCGCGAGACGTCAGCGTTGGGGTTGCGTCTTCGAAAAAACGCTCGTAGACTCGAAGAGTCGCAAGATGGACGTCGCTGCAGGCGCGGAGGGGGGCATTTTCAACCGGGGGGAGTTTGAGGGGGGAAGGGCTCGGAATTGCTCCGTGATCAAGACCTGGCGGATGACGGGAAACGCGCGTAGATTCGAAGGGTCGCGCGATGGACGTTGCTGCGGGCCCGGAGGGGCATATTGCTAATTGAGGGGGGTCTGAGGGGGGAAGGGCTCGGGATTGCTCCGGGATCAAGGCCTGGCGGATGACGGGAGGCGCGCTTAGACTCGAAGAGTCGCGCGATGGACGTGGCTCATCGGCCCGGGCGGAAAACCTTTATCAAGGGAAGGGTCCAGGGGAGGAGTGGTGGCGGGGTCGGGCCTTGATCGAGGAGCGGCGGATGACGGGGAACGCGCATCGATTCGACGAGTCGCGCGATGCACGTTGGTTCACGGCCCGGAGGGACATCTCTTGCCAAGGGTCTCTTTAAACACGTGCCCCGCGAACCTGGCGGATGACCGGAATCGCGCATCGACTCGAGGAGTCGCGCGATGGACGTGGCTCATCGGCCTGAAATGACATCTGTTACCAAGGGTCTCTTTAAACACGTGTCCCGCGAACCTGGCGGATTCCCAAAATGAGCGTCTCGCTCGAGACATCCTCTCATGGGCTTTTCGCCCGAAACATCCTCGAAAACATGGGATGCCGACGGAACTCTTGTAAGGCATCTTTTCGGAGCGATTTCGGATGACCCCCAAGATGGCCCAAAAAACGAAAATATGGGAAAACCTTGAACAATCAACGTTTCGCTCGAGACATCCTTCCCAAATTGCCTTTCGGACGGGTCCTCGAAGGCGAAATGCTTGAAACAACCATGGGTTTTCAACAGTTTCGTTACGAACAAAGCATTTCGCTCGAGACATCCTCCAACAATTTTTGAAGTCGCGCGGAAATTGAACTCCACCTGACATTTGTTGTGGGCGCTCGGGTTAACAGCGACGTCTAACTTCGTGCGGGTAGTGAACTACCTGGTATCTTGTGTGGACGTTCGCGGTGAGCCGTGACTGAAGTTGCGCGGATTGTGAATTCCATCTGGTATCTTGTGGGGACGTTCGGAGTGAGTGGCACGTCGGAATTCGCGCGGATCGTGAACTCAATTTGGTTTTTGATTGCGGACGTTCGGGGTCAGCGGCACGTCTGCATTGGCGCGGATAGCGAAGTCGACTTGGTACCCCTTGTGGAATTCAGGGAAGAGCGCCTACGCGACATGCGCATTTGATGTTGGTGCACGTTTTTGCCAAGCTCTTTGATGTCACGCGCTTCCCGCTCATGACAAGGTTCCCAACATGAGCGTCTCGCTCGAGACATCCTCACACAATCGAGATCTTGGAGGTCTTCGTTCAAGACGTTGTTTGTCAAAGATGGGCGCTTCGCCCGAGGCATCCTGCAAAAATGGAGATCTTGAAATCGCTCGCCTAATTTCCGGATCCTCGAACATATGCGTTTCGCCTGAGATATTCTCGAACACATGGGATGCCGACAGAGCTCTTATAAGGCATCGTTTCGGGGCGACCTCGGATGACCTCCAAGATGGCCCAAGAAGCGAAACTATTGAAAAGCCCACGTGCATTTAACCGCTTAGTTGAACCATCAGTGTTTCGCTCGAGACATCCTCCAACAATTGCCTTCGGACGGGTCCTCGAAGGCGAAATGCTTGAAACAACCATGGGTTTTCAACAGTTATGTTAAGTCAACCGAACATTTCGCTCGAGACATCCTCCAACAAGTTTTGAACTCGCGCGGAACGTGAACTCCACCGGAGATTTGTTGTGGGCGTTCGGGTTAACAGCGACGTCTAACTTCGCGCGGGTAGTGAACTCTACCTGGTATTTTGTGTGGACGTTCGCGGTGAGCGGTGACTGAAGTTGCGCGGATTGTGAATTCCATCTGGTATCTTGTGTGGACGTTCGGAGTGAGTGGCACGTCGGAATTCGCGCGGATCGTGAACTCAATATCGTTCTTCTGGCGGACGTTCGGGGTCAGCGGCACGTCTGCATTGGCGCGGATGGCGAAGTCCACCTGGTGATTGCCACCGCCTGCTTGCCGCTGCGTGTCACTGAGGGCCGCCTCCTCGTCCTGCCCGCCACACTCGGCGCCCTCCTGCCACCTGGCGACCCTCTGGGGCGCCTTGGTCACGAGCACGGGCAGGCACTCGAGCGCCTCGAGCCTGGCTCGCGCGCTCCCCTGGGCAGCGGCGCGGAGGGCGCTGGCCATCCACGCTGCCTCAGGGGCGAGTCTCGGCGACCTCGCATCCTGCGCCCCGCTCTTGCACACCCTCTTGGTGGAGAAGCCGTAGGCTCTACCCACGAACCTGGTGCGCTCGTCGCCAACCTGGTAGACGTCCAGCCACTCCTCCCCCGCGCACTCCAGGAAGGTGCCGAAAGCCGCGGTGAGGGCCTCCTTGGCGTCGCTCACTTGGCACCCTTGAGCGTCGCCACCTGGCAGGCACCTCTCCCCCACTCGGCCGTGGGGTGCTCCTGGTACCTGCGGCTGGGCCTCGACTGCAGCTGCGTCCTCAACCTGCGCGGGCTGGTGGCCCCCGTCCGTTCCGCACTGGCCCTCAGGCTTCTCCTCGAGCTCCCGCAGCAGCCCACAGGCCCTCGGGGCCCCCTGCCTCTGCACATCGAGCTGCCTGCATTGCTGGCCCAGGCTGGCCGCCGACGCCGCGGGCGGCAGGGCGGGGGGCGGCGGCGGCACGCTGCCGCAGCGCGCGAAGCGCCCCACAGGCCTAGCAACAGCTGCTTCGCCTTCATCGTCTTGCGGAGCCCGCGCAGCCTCAGCGCACCCTGGCCCACGTGGCGACGTCGAGCCTGGTAGCCGCAATGGCACGCCAGGACTTTGCGACCGAACGCCCGTGGCGACGGTGCCTGGTAGCCGCAATGGCACACCAGGACTTTGCGAACTGACGCCAGTGCCTTCCACCTCCACGGCCTCCACGCACACGAAGCGCGCCACGGGCAAGTGCTGCCTCCTCACCTCCTGCCGCGCTCGCTGCCACCTGCTGTGGCGGTCCCACTCGCAGCAGCCGAACGGCCTGTCCACGGGGAAACACCGCGTCACCTGCGCCACCTGGAACATCGGCCGCACACTCTGCACGCCAATCTCGATGACAACGGGCGAGTGCGGATGGACGGGCGACGCGGGCACAACCTGGACCCCCTTCGCCACCAAGCCCTTGGACACGAGGAAGAAATCGATGATCCTTCCCGACCCAGCGCAAGTGGGGACCGAGGACCTGACCACGACGGCGTCGAACATGGCGAGCAGCCCCCCATCCTTCAACTCGTCCTCAGTGACCTTGAAGTCCCCACCGACCACGACCTCCTTCTGGTACTGCCTGAGCTTCTGCGCAAGCAACTTGAGCCCCAACACGTTGCCCGCGTTGAGGCCGACCCCCGCCTCGAGGTACACGTTGCCCAACAGAATACCTCCACGCCGCCCGGCCGCCACCCAGCAGATGTGGACCCTGCCTGGCACGATCGCGGCGCCCTGCGGGTCGTCGACCTCGGCCATCCCGTGGGAGCGCCTGAACACGGTGATCCGGCCGCCTGTGCTGAGCCCCCCGCAGCTGACGGGACTGCTGGCGCGCCCCTTCGCACGCCACCCCTGAGCCCGCAGCTGCCCCTCGGCGTCGGCACTCCTGCCCCCCCAGCAGCCTGGTCTCCTGCGCCAGGACGGCGTCGCACCCCCTGACCTCCTGCGCCGCCAGGCACTTGCCCAGGCTGCTGAACGCGGTTGACGTTGGCGGTGCAAATCCTCCAGCAGCCGCGCTGGCGGCTAGGACGGCGCAGCATGCTCCACCTCGGCCTCAGCGAAGCGCCCCGTCTTGGCTGCCTGCGAGGCGCTCGAGGCGCACTCCTCCATGAGCACCTCCGCGATCTTCCGCTTGCCTGGGTCGTCCAGCCCCTGCGTGAACTCCCTCCAGACCTGCTGCACATCCACCTCAGGGCCAGGCGCGGTGGCCTGCGCTGGGCCAGCGGCCGCTCTGGCCGCCGCGGTCCCCTTCGGGGGGGCCGCCCCCCGTTGGCTCCAGCGGGCCCTCATGCCGCGGCCTTGGCGTGGCCCTCGAGCAGCTCGTCCAGCGCCCCGCTGAGCTTGGCCACCAGCGCAGGAGCCTCCCCAGCGCACGCCTCGCCAATTGCCTTGCGCGGCGCCGCTGAGGCGGCCGCCGCGGGCCCTGCCGCCGCCGCTGTTGCCGCTGCCGCTCCCTCTTCTGCCTGCTTGGCGGTTTGGGCGGCCAGCGCCTCGCGGGCCTTGGCGGCTGCTTCCTCATGCTCGTGCCGCAGCTGCTCCAGCTTCGCCCCGAGCTCCGCCATCTCGCTGACGGCGAGGAGGGCTCGCGCCTTGGCTTGCTCCAGCAGACCCTCTGTCTTCTTCATCCTCTGGGCCTTATCGTCGGCGAGCATCTGGGCAGCCCCGACCCCCTTGACCTTGGAGAGATCCCCCAGCCCCTCCTGCGCGAGCCGCCTGGCCTGCAGGATCTCACGCTTGGGCCTGACGTCGATGGCGTCGAGCAGCTTGGCCGTGACCCCGAACCGCTCCTCCGACATCCGCACCAACTCGAACGCTGTCTCCTCGTCGATGACCCCGCCACCAGCGCCCCCGCCACCAGCGCCCCCGCCTCCAGCGCCCCCGGCTGGGCTCGCGGGGCCCGCAGGGCGATCGCCGCGCCACCAGGGGGCCCGCTTGGGCGCAGCAGCAGCGGCACGAGGGCCAGCAGCGCGAGGCGTGCCAGGCAGCTGCACGAAGGCACCGAGCTTGGCCACCCGCTGCTGCTTGGGCCGCTGCCCCGGGCACCCTCGCATCCTGCACGCCGCCCTCTCCACGAATTTGTAGTACTGGCACCGCTGGCAGCACCACCCCGCACCACCCACACGGCTGGTACCTGCAGCACGCCCCGCCGCCATCCATGTCCCTTGCTGAGGACCCGTGGTGGCCGTTGAGCAGATCCACCGCCCTGGCCAGGCCAGCGTGGAAGCGTACGGAACCGCCGCCTTTCCAGGCGCGCACCGGGTCGCGTGCGCTGGCACGCTGGCGCCTGGCTCGCCGATGCCACGCCTCCTTCGACGGCGCGATGGTCCCAGCCCGAGGGGAGCTCGCGGCAGCTGCCTGCCGCACCCACAGCTCTCGTGCCGAGGAGGAGGAGGAGGAGGAGGAGGAGGAGGAGGAGGAAGAGGAAGAGGAGGGGAAGAAATAGGAGGTGGATGAGGAGGAGGAGGAGGAGAAGGAGGAAGAGGAAGAGGAGGAGGAGGAGGAGGAGGAGGAGGAGGAGGGAGGAGGAGGAGGAGGAGGACGAGGAGGACGAGGAGGACGAGGAGGAGGAGGAGGAGGAGGAGGAGGAGGAGGAGGAGCGGGGAGGAGCGGGGAGGAACAGGAGGAGGAGGAAAGGAAGAAGGAAGGTTAGCGGGACACGGACGACGACGAAACCGACGTCAGGACTCACACACCGAGGGTTTCGCGGATATTTTGCTATAGTAGTTTCTCGAGAGCCTCTTGGAAGCCCCTTGGAGCCATCTTGGAGTCCTCTTGGGGCAATTCTGGGAGCCGTCGGGGCCCCCTCGAGGCCCTCTACGTCTCTCGGGAGCCCTTGGAACCCTCTTGAGACCATCTCTGAGGAAACAGGTGAAGGGGGGGTGCGTAACGAACGTCGCCCGTGCGCTCTTTGGGCCGTTGGGCCTCCGTTTTGAGACTTCACGTCAGAGGTCCATCGTAAGTGAAATTGCGAGACGCCAAACATATTGAAACACATATTGCGATTGACGGGTGTTTGCCTGTTTGGGGTCTCCTTGTGACGTTCCGTGGCCATTCGGAACCGTTTTCGGGTGGTCTTGTGTCTTGTGCGAGGCGCGTTTGACTATCTTGCGCATCTTGAAGGCAATCGTGAACTATATGAAGCCATCTTTGAGACGGCTTGGTCCCAAAGCCTCTGATCGATGCCCCTGCCCCCACGATCCCTATCAATACTGACCCAGAGTGGTGGCGGGGTGGCCAGCGCAGTGTATGGTGTGTTCGCCCGCAAACAGCGCTTGCGTTTGATTTTGACATGGATGGTGGGCAAGCGCACGGTGGGTCAATATTATCCGTAAGGGCTTCGCCCCCTGCCGCCGGCCCCCTCTCTCGGATAATGGGCTCTGCAAGAGCTAAATCATGAGGCCTTGGCGCCGCCGTGAAGCCGCATCGGCAAGAGAAATTGAGATGATGATGATGATGATGATGATGATGATGAGGAAGATGATGATGATGATGATGATGATGATGATGATGATGATGATGATGATGATGATGCTGATGATGATGATGATGATGATGATGGACGACGACGACGACGATGATGATGATGATGATGATGGTGATGATGATGATGATGATGATGCTGATGCTGATGATGATGATGATGATGATGATGATGACGACGATGATGATGATGATGATGATGATGATGATGATGATGATGATGATGATGATGATGATGATGATGATGATGATGCTGATGATGATGATGATGATGATGATGATGATGATGATGATGATGATGATGATGATGATGATGATGATGATGATGATGATGATGATGATGATGATGATGATGATGATGATGATGATGATGATGATGATGATGATGATGATGATGATATAGTTGACCTCAACATTGCATTTTGAACCTGCCTCCGTAAGTTGTGCACAGGTTTCCCACATAATTTCCGACATGTGGCCAATCCCATGAGTTGCTCGACCCTTACCCGCCGATCTGCGTGAGGGGTGCCGCCGAATTTCAGAAATGTGGCAGTTCGCGTTGGTTTTTCGACCCTGACCCCGCCGATCTGCGTGAGGGGTGCCAGCAAATTTCAGAAATGTGGCACATCCCATGTGTTTTTGGACCCTGACCCCACCGATCTGTCTGAGGGTTGCCGTCGAATTTCAGAAATGTGGCAAATCCCAGTGGCTTTTGGACTCTGACCCCGCCGATATGCGTGAGGGGTGCCGCCGAATGTCAGACATGTGGCACATCCTATAGGTTTTTCCACCGTGACTCCGCCGATCTGCGTGAGGGGTGCCGCCGAATTTCAGACATGTGGCAAATCCCATTGGTTTCTCGACCCTGGCCCCGCCGATCTGCGTGAGGGGTGCCGCCGAATTTCAGACATGTGGTACATCCCATTGGTTTTTCGACCCTAACTCCGCCGATCTGCGTGAGGGGTGTGAGTTTCGACCCCCTCAGAAAGTTTGAGAACCCTCCCAGGAGATGCTAAATTTGCAAATGTTCGGCTCCCCCCCCTCGTGCGGTCTACAACAAGGACATTAAGCAGCATAAAGCAACACTGTAACAGGGGGAACTGGAAACTGGAACTGGCGCAGGGAACAGCACTCGCCCTACAGCCTGGTGGCCCCACAAGGGGGCCGGCGGATCACCCCTAGCCATATCGGCCAAAAGCATATCCAAGTAATCCTATACTGCACGCTCATTGCGACACGGAGGAGGAGGAGGAGGAGGAGGAGGAGGAAAAGGAAGAGGTGGAGGAGGAAGAGGAGGAGGAAGAGGAGGATTTTGCCTTCACGCGCACTTATTATTGGGTGTTGTGAAAGGAATGGTGCATGGTACGGGGGGCTCATTGTTCCTGGTTGATGACTGGTCGAGTGGGGGAGGAGCAGTGCTGGACGAGGTGGGTTTGAACAGGAAGCGTTTTTATCCACCTCCGCCCAGAGGGCAGGTGGGATTGACGTCCCCCGAAAGGCGATGACCCTGCTGAAGTCTGGTGCAGGGGACATCAGCGTGTACATCGAGAAGGAGCGCGGGCCCGAGCCGAGCCGACGGCATCTTCTTGGGCCCTCGGCACCGATTCTACAGTTGCCTCGGAGGGTCTCAAGCTTGTCTCACGAAGTGCCTCGGAGTGGACGGGATGTCGGCGTCACCCCATCATCATCATCATCATCATCATCATCATCATCATCAGCATCATCATCATCATCATCATCAGCATCGTCATCATCATCATCATCATCAGCATCAGCATCAGCATCATCATCATCATCATCATACTACCACCACCACCACCACCATTACTACTACTACTACTACTACTACTGCTACTGCTACTGCTACTGCTACTACTACTTCTACTACTTCTACTGCCTCTACTACCTCTACTACTACTACTACTACTACTACTACTACTATTATTACTACTACTACTACTACTACTACCACTACTACTACTACTACTACTACTACTACTACTACTACTACTACTACGACGACTACTACTACTACTACTACTACTACTAGCTGCTGCTACTACTGCTACTACTGCTACTACTACTACTACTATTACTACTACTGCTACTACCACTACTACTACTACTACTACTACTACTACTACTACTACTACTACTACTACTACTACTACTACTACTACTACTACGACTACTACTACTACTACTACTACTACTACTACTACTACTACTACTACTACTACTACTACTACTACTACTACTACTACTACTACTACTACTACTACTACTACTACTACTATACTACTACTACTACTACTACTACTACTACTACTACTACTACTACTACTACTACTACTACTACTACTACTACTACTACTACTACTACTACTACTACTACTACTACTACTACTACTACTACTACTACTACTACTACTACTACTACTACTACTACTACTACTACGACTACCAGTCTTACTACTGCTACTACTGCTGCTACTACTATGTGTACGTCGCCCCCGCAGGGGCGACTCGTGCGCCGAGAAATATTATATTATCCGTAAGGGCTTCGGCCCCAGCCGCCGGCCCCCTCTCTCGGATAATGGGCTCTGCAAGAGCGAACTCATGAGGCCTTGGCGCCGCCGTGAAGCAGCGTCGGGAATTCACGCGAAGACGACGAGTAATCGGCAAGACAATTTGAGATTCTGATGATACTGTTGAATTCGGTGATGTATTTCGATGGTTCATGGTTTCGGATACGCGAGTAGCGCGTAATATACGAGGGTGTATGGCTTCGGGCTCGGCAATACAATGTACTTTGCGCAGGTGTATGGCTTCGGAGACGCGAGAATTGTGTAATTTAAGAGGGTGTATGATCTCGGACACGCGATTATTGAGTAAGTTACGAAGGTTTCTTGTTTCGGGGTCGCAACTATTGCATCAGTTACGCAGTGTTATGGCTTCGGAGGCGCGAGTATTTGGTAATTTACACGGGTTTATGGCTGCGTGGACGCGAATATCGAGTGATTCACGGGCTTTTCTGGCCTCTGGGACGCAAGTATTGCGTAAATTAACTGGGCTTAGGGCTTCGGGGACACGACAATGGTGTAGCTTGTGAAGGTCTGTGGCTTCGGGGACGCGAACTTTAGCGTAAGTTACGAGGGTTTCTGGCCTCAGGGACGCGAACATTGTAATTTACGAGGGTGTATGGCTTCGGGGGCGCGAATCTAATATTTTTTATATGGCCCACGCCCCCCAGGAATTCAGAGCACCCGATTCGGGCGTGGTAACAAGGTTCCTTCTCGGCTTCCCCCCCCTCGCGCTGTCCATCAACAAGGAGCAGTAAGTGGAAACTGGAAAGTGGAATTGGCGCAGGGAACAGCAAACCTTCGTCATACAGCCTGGTGGCCCCGCAAGGGGCCGGCGGATATGCTGCGTGGCGGGCGCTTTCAGGCCGTACCGCTCGGGAAACTATGTGCTACAAGATGTTTTTTTTTTTTTTTTAATTATGTTCGGTTCGGGCGCACGCCTCCGCGGAGGTCACATAGTATTAGCATGGCCTTGTGCGTCCCAAGGAAGCTCCACGACGCTAATCCTCTATGCTGACTGGTTGGCCAAAGCGCTTTGTGGCCGAGCTCCTGGGCTTGGCCGCGCGTGCGAAAGCCGAAGCCATCAGGGTGTCGAGGAGGAGGAGGAGGAGGAGGAGGAGGAGGAGGAGCAGCAGGAGGAGGGGGCGGAGGCGGAGGCAGAGGAGGCGACGGAGGGGTAGCGTCTGGAGATCACAGAGGGAAGCAAACGTGGAGGCAGCGCCGCTTTTTGCCCGCCCCCTCCTGTCCTGCTGGCCCAGTGGCTTTGCGGCCCCGCTGCGCGGCAGGGGTTGCTGCCCTCGCCCCCTCTTCGTCCCCATTCTCCCCTCCTACTCCTCCTCCTCCGCCTCCTCCTCCTCCCTCGCCTCCCCTCCTCCTCCTCCGCCTCTCCTCCTCCGCCTCCCCCTCCTCCGTCTCCTCCTCCTTCTCCTCCTCCTCCCCCTCCTCCCCCTCCCCCTCCTCCTCCTCCTCCTCCTCTCCTCCTCCTCCCTCCTCCCTCCTCCTCCTCCTCCTCCTCCTCCTCCTCTCCTCTCCTCCTCTCCTCTCCTCCTCCTCCTCCTCCTCCTCCCCCTCCCCCTCTCCTTCTCCTCCTCCTCTCCTCCTCTTCCTCCTCCTCCTCCTCCTCCTCCTCCTCCTCCTCCTCCTCCTCCTCCTCTTCCTTCCCCTCCGAGAAGAAACGGGCTCCGGAGTGGGCCCGCCGCCCCTGCGTCTGGCGCCGCGCCTGAGCGCGGTGCGTGCTGCGAGCGGCGAGCGGCGGAGCACGGATGTCCGCCAGGGGCGTGCGCAGCAGGAGGAGGTGGAAGAGGGGGAGGAGGAGGTGGAGGAGGGGAGGAGGAGGAGGAGGAGGGGGAGGAGGGGGTGGAGGAGGGGGAGGAGGGGGTGGAAGAGGAGGATGAGGAGGAGGAGGAGGAGAGGAGGAGGAGGAGGAGGAGGAGGAGGAGGAGGAGGAGGAGGAGGAGGAGGAGGAGGAGGAGGAGGAGGAGGAGGAGGGGGAGGGGGAGGAGGAGTTGGAGGAGGGGGAGGAGGAGGACAAGCGTAACACCAAGACGCATCAACGATATTGCACGATACCCTCACTCCAAGTTTTTTTGTCCATTGGCTCCTATAAGGATCTGTTTCCACTTTGGGAAGAGCCCCATTGGAAGACAACCGTCTGCACCATTGCTTGGATTTCAACGCCGCGAGTCAACGTTGCTGTCGCGATCTGCCGATCCCAATTGCTGCCAGATCTTCATTTCGAAGACGTCAACAGTGCGAACCAACGTGACTGTCGTGACCTGACAACTTTAATCGTACCAAAACACCAATACTGGGATGTCAACCAAAAAAACCCTAGAAACTGCTGTAAGCTGTGAAGCCGAATGTGCGCAGCGCTAGTTCGAATGTCACATTTTGAACATAGGAACCGAATCATGTGAAACTCTTGCACACTTCAAAACGAATGTGCGCGGCGCGAAGTCGAGAGCCACATTTTGCAAACGACCCGCTCTCCATCCGTGACTCGCTTTCAGATTCGCCAGACGACTGTGCGCGGCGCTCATGCGAGAACCACATTTTGGAAACGGCCAGGCCTCCATCCGTGAAAGTTTATAAATGTCAAGTTCCTGGATCATAAGTGGTGAGCTAGTCTCAAGCGAAATGCCAGGCCCGCCCCACCGACCGGTCTCGAGGCGCGACAGGGAGGAGACATTCATAAACAGCTGGGATGCAGGAGGAGGCGGAGGAGGAGAAGGAGATGGAGGAGGAGGACGAGGAAAAAGGGGGAGGAGGCAAGCTAGGTGCGCCCACGTCATGTCTGACGTCCTACCCCTCCCTCCCATCCCTACCAAGGCGTAGATCTCTCTATTCGCACAGTCGGATGCCGTGCAGGGCAATGATCCCAGGAGGGTGCGCGATGCATCGTAGAGCACGGCATAGCAGGGCGTAGAAGATAACGACAGAGCGCAGTATGTCATAGCATGCTTTGCCGTTGCGTAGTGAAGAATTGCATCACCAAGCATTGCAACGTAACGAATGGCATCGCACAGCGGCACATCATAGAACATGGTATAGCATGGCGTTGAATATTAAATGGCGTGGCAGTTCGTCGTCAATCATTACATATCCTGGCATTGCAGCTGAAGACATGGCATCGCACAGCGGAACACCACATAGCATTGCATTGCATGCCGTGGCATGGCACTAGAAATAATGACGCCAGCGTTGCAGCGGGCGCACGATTCGGAACGAGCGGAAGCGTGGAAATGAGGCCAGCGCTGTAGCGGAAACACGATTCGGAACGAGCGGAAGCCCAGAAATGGGGCCAGTGCTGCAGCGGAAACACGATTCGGAACGAGAGGAAGCCCGAGAATGAGGCCAGCGTTTCAGCGAGAGCAACATGTTGAATACAAACCCAAGGGAAAACCCATTTCCCAGGAATCCTGTGTGTAAAAAACAGTACGCGGAGGCGGGGCGAACATCTTCCGGACGTCATCAGGGAAGAGAGGAGAGTAGTATTCGGAATGCGTGTAAATCAACAACGGGGAAGGTGGGATGGCCCACCTGCTCCTCAGACTCGAGAAGGAGGAATAGGAGGAGGAGGAGGAGGAGGAGGAGGAGGAGGAGGAGGAGGAGGAGGAGGAAAAGGAGGACAACGAGAAGGAGGAGGAAGAGGAGGAGGAGAAACACCAGGAGGAAAAGGAGGACATCGAGAAGGAGGAATAGGAGGACGAGGAGGAGAAGGAGGAGGAGGACGATGAGGAGGAGGAGGGGGGGAGGAGGAGTAGGAAAAGGGGGGTGGAGTAGGTGGACGACGAGGAGGAGGAAAAAAAGGAGGAGTAGGCGGAGGAGGAGGAGGAGGAGGAGGAGGAGGAGGAGGAGGAGGAGGAGGAGGAGGAAGGGGAAGGGATAGGTGATGGCGGACGAGCCGAATTAGGACGAGGGAGAGGTGGAGGAGGAGGTGGAGGTGGACGAGGAGGAGGGGCGGAGGAAA